TTGAAATGAATGTGTATCTGCTGGATGTGTAAATGAGCTAACTTTACTGTTGTGTTGTAGTGTGCGTGTCAAGTAGCCAAGTCATTTTTTATTTTTTATTATCTGTGCGCAGTGCCTCAAAAGTTAACATATCTGATATAATGCTCCACCTTCACAGTGACGACACTTTTTAATCCACAACAGTACGATTTGCTCCAAACATTAAAGAGTGATAGGGGCCACCAGATCTCCTCTTTGCTACATTTCCTGTCATCTTATTCGCAGTAATCGCCAGTGTTCTGTTCACTCCAAACATGGCCCAACAAGACGGTGCATGACACCACTTGAAAGTGCCTTCAGAGTCCCCCCATTATCTAACCAACTCCTGAAGTTCAGCCCACTAGGCAGACGTTACCTTGGCACAAGATCTGAGCAATCCACAAATTCAAAGTAATCACGGTGGCTTTTGAGAGCTGGGGAAGAAAAAAAAGAGGCTATATCCAGACTGCGCATCTAAATGAGCAGCGTTCTCCGATAAGTCGTTGACTTGTGACTTTTTATTTATTTCTGACTGGCTACAGGGAACAAGAGCCAAGGGAATTCAGCAGAGCAGAAAATTTCAGTGTGAGGATTATCCTGCATGGAATGAGATGATATCACTATGTGACACCACCGTAAGCCTAGTAAATAAAATCCCTGAGATCCTGAGGTGTGGTGCTGTGTTTCCTTTGTATTCTCTCCATCAGAAAAACTGAAATTGCACAAGACTTCGGTCTTAAAATATTTTGGGTGATTATGATGAACCAGTTGGCTCCCGGCGCGAACAGTTTTAAAGACTATTGGCCATGAAATGCTTTCTGTAGGATGTGTGTCCAAGTGAACAATCAGCATTCCAAATCCTAATGTTAAAGTTCACCAATGAAAACAAAAACTGACAGTTAAAGTTTACATTTCACCTTCACTAAATGTTTATATCTTAAATACTATGTGAACAGGGCCAGTTTGTTTTCTCTCCCTCCACTAAAAATTCTCTGATTGGCAGCATTGTTCAATTGTAGCCTCTATTTATCTTTATAAGTCAGTCATGGAGAAATGTATACCAGTGAGAATGAGATCTGTGCACAGGCTAAACAGTCTCCTCAGGCCCGTGTGAAACGGGATGTTTAAACTGTATTGGTGTCATTTTCATGACCTGCACAACAGCCAAAAATAACAGTTGCTCTGTGATTTCACACAAGAACACAACACACGAAAGAAAAAAGTTTTGTTTGTCAGTTTGTTATACTTTTGTGCAACAGTGTACGTCTCAGTAAATCACATTAAGAACTGTAAAATGATGTTGGGTTTCATGTGTTGAGAAGAATCTGTCAAATAAATAGGACACGGGAGGCAGAAGAATGAGGCTAAAATAGAGAGAATCTTCAGGGACAGGCAGGATGCGGGGAGAGAGGTAGAGGACGGCAAAAAATGACACAAAGGCAAAAAAGCACGTAGAGCTAGTAGTTACTTCACTTAAAAGCACAAACACACCCAAGTCAATTACTACCCATACAAATCACTCACCACAGCACGTAGTCACACAACTACAACTTAGTCACCAACTGCTGCTGAGGATGAGTTTGGAGACAGACAGAAAAGAGAAGGAGGGGGAAAAGAGAAAATGGTTACTGGAACCGCTTTGGCGAGAGGAATAATAACTTTACTGGAACTCAGTGGACAGTTGTTCCACCAAGACGCCATTTACACCAAAACTGCCCTCAGCAGTCCAAATATTCCACATTGTGTCTTGTGGAAACCATGATGTGGGATTAAGCCTTATTTGTTGAGACTTTAGTACGTCTGATGAGGTGTGGACCTGGACAATTAAACACAATCCTGAGGACCAGCCGGGCAGCCCACGGTCCTTTGTGGGGTGACACACGGTATGCTGTTCTATTGTGACAGGGAGGATTATGGGTAAGGAAGGGCGTGATAGGCAACGGAGGAAAACTGTGTCAGTGTCAACAGTGAGTCAAATGTAGAAACCCACAGTGCTGCTGTCAATTTAAAAGCCAACCACTTAATTGCAAAAAAAGGTTTTGACAAAAAGACTTTTTCCCCCCAGAATTAAAAAGAAAGTGTTTATTTTTCTCACTAAGGAGACTGAAATCACGGCATCCTGATCTAAAACAGGTGCCAAGTCAGTCCACACACTGGAAGCTTCAGTCATGAAAAATGACTAGTACTGTGCTTACAGTGAGTATAGTTTTGAGTAGTATAATTTACTGCTAATAATCTTTCACCAAGATAAACTTTTGAATGCAGGACTTTTACAAGTAATGAGTATTTTTACATGTTACTTAAGTAAAAGATTTGACTACTTCTTTCACCAGTTAAAATTTTTTTATTCTCGATGCAATATTTTGTTTCTATAGGCCTATTTGTTTTAGTACTGCATAAGCTGGTAAAGCCGTAAGAGAGAGTATGAGAGACAAAAATCAAATACACACCATAAAGAGTATAGACAAGAAAGACACCAGGCCTTCATCAGTCTTGTGAGGATTGTGGTAATAAGCATAAATCTGTGCTTACTCTGTTTCCAATTCATGTATAATTGCCGCTTATGTATTTTGAGACCCAAAGTAATTCGCTTTAATTGTATTCTGTAATGCCTTCATAAAAAAAACAAAAGCCTGTTTTGTGCCTCCCTACTGCTGACTGATATGATTTACAACCGGTTCATAAAAGCTTTTACAATTGTTGCTTTAAACACTCTGGTAGGTCTCTGCAGCACAGGAAGTGCTGTATTTTATCTCTAGTTTGTTTGTCCAAAAGAAGTACTCTTTAACTAACTTTTACTTTAGCAATGACGGCCACCAAGAGAGAGCACCACACGGCACAGACAGAGACTTCAACAGGGAGTTTAAGGAAAAAAAGATCCTAGAAGCACAGTTTGACGGACGAGTGATCTCAAAGCCAAAAACACCACAGTGGTAGGGGCTGATGAGGAGACGGAGACAAAAACCAGATAGAGTCACAGATTTCTACTTTAACAGGTCCCACGGGGTTGTAGAGTCATAAAACTGAGTGAACACATCGGTGAACATGGAAACTTTTAACCTTAAGTAAGAAAAAACACCACAATTGAAGTTTTGTGGTTTCTCCCCGAACAGCACGCAGCACAGGAAAGAAGTAGGGAGAATGATTAACTGTGTGTCTGTATGAGATTCCACTTAAAGCCCTTCAAACCATTCATCTTGGACTCGCACTGAGGGCCTATGATTATTTCCAACTTCATCTATAACTGCCCTCATGCGTCTTCCAATCTCTAATTTGACTTCATCTCAGTAGTTTTGGGGGGTTTTCTTTGTTTAGTCATTTTTATGTGAGGGCTTGACCCGGAGCTGCTCTTCCTCCCCTGGGAATTCCACAGGTCCCAAGTAATGTTGGGAGGCTCCTGCTCGGCAAACTGATCAGGAATGTACCAAGCAAGGGGGAAAGGAGGTGGAGGTGGGTTCCTCCGGCCTCGCAGGAAACACAGCGCTTCATTGTTCTCCTACCTTTACATTCCATTCCTCACCTCTCTCTGTTTTAAAATCACCCCCCACACACACACACACACTAAACACAACCTCTGTCACATTTGTATAACTTTTCTTTCATTCCTCTCTGCCTCTCCTCGTCCTCTCTAATCATCTTACCTGGCACTTTCCCGCAGCTAAAAATGATGTACTGACAGAAAACTTCATCGCTTTTAGCGGTTTGTTGCCAATTGGATAGAAACGAAATGAGAAAGCAAATCTATTGTAGGCAGGATACATGTGGATTTACAACTAGTTCAGAGTGTGTTCCAGAGTGTATTTAAAGGTAACTGCGTTTGCGTGTTGAGATCATGCATCTATGGTGTGCGTGTCTAGGTGTGTGTGTGTGTGTGTGTGTGTGTGCACAAACAAGTTCCACAAAAAGCAGCGGAGGAGGAGTACTTAGGGCTGATGGGAGTCTTAAGGTGTTCTGTCATGGAGCAGATCTCAACAGGCCCTTGCATGCCTGCATGTGTTGTATGTTCACATACACTGCCGGAGCTACACAATACACCCAAAGCTGCGGATCAGTAAATTCAAGAAAACAGAGAGGGAAGAGTGAGAGATGGATGCAGTGACAGACTGGGGAACATGTAGTCGGCATGTCCGCTCACAGGAGGTGGGCCTCTGTTTTCTGTGATGCTTGGGATGAACAAAGTCAGTGAGGCTCATGAGTTTCATCCTGTCTCCTCCCTGCTGTCACCCTCTACCACCCTTGAAGATGCTAATCCATCACAGTACAGTAGCTCTCTGGCTTCTTTGATCACTTTCAGTCACCCTGACAGCCCTTCCCACAACAACAAAAGCCTTCTTTGCAGGACTTAAAACGGAACTACAAAGTCAAAGGACTGATATATGATTGGACTACGTAGCACGCCCATTAAAAGATAAGAGAACAGATGATACTGAGGGAGCAGGAAATCACCTGATGCAACGGGCATGTAAGTTATGAACAATGAGAAGTGTAGTGAAAGGTGAAGCTTTTGAGCATGACTTCAACATTCATTAAACAACTTTTTAAATTAGGAGAAATTTATTTCAGAACAAAATGGTAAAGTGTTCATTTAGGTTTTAAAACCTGAAAAGCAACCTGATTGTGAGTTCTTAGCACCTTCAGATTGACTTTTCTCACTGCCCAATTTAAGCCTTGATGACACATGAGGCACAAGCAAGTGATCAAGACTTGTACATAGCATTCCACAGAACTGTACATCTTCAAATCATAGAAGAAACTCAAAAGCACATTTCCTAATTTTATAGGTATTGGTTCAAGGTCAGGGATGATGCCGGGGCATGTACAAGTAGGCCTAAGCATTCTTTCCATTGCAGTGGAGCAATGTGCCAAAGGGAGAATTCCATTGAACAATGATAATAACACCATTGATAAATATCCACAGTCTGCCATTTGGGCTTGTTTTATAACCTACAGCAATTGAAATAAAGGTAAAAAAAACACATTCTCATGGGAACTGCTTCCAGGTGCCTGGGAGCACAAAGACCTTTACAAATACCAAAGCTTCAAGAGAACGCCCTTACCTTGACATGTGTCTTCAACTTCTTCATAGCCTGGTTTGCACTGGCACTGTCCAACGGGTACCACCCACTCGCCATCCACAGTGCAGTAAATGCGAGGCAACTCCTCACTGATGGCGTTCTCCACGCACACCCCACTCACTTCCCTCAGCGCTTGGTTCTCACCTCCTGCTATGGTTTCAGGGAACAGCGCAAGGCTCTTCACTGTGGCCGGGCAAGTTTTGTAGTAGACCCTGACGGAGAGAAGTGCGACGCAGGCTCCAATGTCCTGAAAGGCCAAGTAGAAGCCTTTTCGAGACAAGTTCTCCACCACTCGCGTCTCAGTGTTGATACGCAGTTCATTTTTGCTGGTGATCTCATCAGGCGCTATGGTGGTCACTTTCTTAAACTGGCCCTTGCGGAAGGTAGTGCCCACGTCTGCGTCCGACTCAGACGTGAACAGGTTGAAGGTTTCCTTGCAGGTCAGCGAGGTGCCGCCAAAAGAGTTGCAGTCGCGTACAATAAACTGTAGTTCAACAAAAACCCGCGAAGCTGCTGGACGCCGCTGGATGAAGGTGGTGCGCAGCCAGTTGTCCTGCTCACGTTCCCCAACATTGCAGACGGAGTAGGTGTAGAACTGAGAGCCGTTCAGGGTCCTCTGGACAACCTCCCACTGAAACAAAATCAAACAAACCAAGAAGGTTAGAGGTACGAACACTGATCCCTGAAGAGTCCATCAGCACACTGGGTTGACTTCACATTAGGGTTCAACAACGGTAATCTGAACCTGGAAACAAGAACAGTCTGTGTGTAGGGAAACCCATGGCTCGCTAATTAATCCCTTGAATGTTTAGCTTTCATAGCAGTAGGCCTAATACCTAATACCTTTCTGCAACATGGAGAACTCCACTTTATGAGCCTTTACAGCATATCAATGCAGCAAACCTCAAAAACTTTGAGTGACAAACCATTTCTAACATAGCAGAGATACCAAATAATTTCCAGTTCAGTCTTTCATAGGCTGTTGGCATTGGCATCCGCCCCAAATAGCGTTGCAGTTCACATACTAAATGCTGCCACAAATATTTTTGAAAAAACTGATGCCATGTTTTAATGCAACCTTGGCCGTTGAGGAGCAACTTGCCCCCAATGGGGCAAAGGCTGTGGTTTGCTCTCTGCATGTAGTCACTGTGCTGTTAATTAAAGGAATGTGCTATGTTGGCTGACTGTGTGGCTCTGGTTGTAAACTTGATGAACAGTAGAACCAACACCTTTATTAAACAGCTGGAGACTGTTTTTTTGTTTTTATAAGAGGCCTTTCAAACTTAAAATAATAATTATCATAAGTGAAGGTAGTTACATGGGAAAGAGCGCACAATAAAAAAAATGTTTCCAACAAACCTCGAAAAAATAAAAACACCATCTGATGCTTATTAGTGCAAAAAGTGAAACTTAAGTGTTGAAGTGATTATTAAAGCAATGAAACCTCTCTTAGAAGAAGTTGGGTGAGCCACTGAACAGCACGCCTGCACATGCCTTTGAGTCATCAGCACATGAAATGAGGCTATTTACAGTGAATTTGCATGAGCCTGACTGGTCAATTACTTTGAAACCGCAATGTGGAAGAAGGCACACATATACTGTATACTAAACGTGTACTGGCACAAAGATAACCACAGCATTTGGGTGTAATAATGTAGCTATTGTCTAGACGCATCTCTAAATGTAGACATTTTACCCTGGTTTAAGCAAAAGGTGACTCTGACTGATTGGCTCCATGTGAAAGCCCTCCCCCTCTAAAAACGGGTACCATATGCTGCAAACTTTAAAAGTTAATTGCTCTCTAACATACAATCTGAAGCTGAAGCCTTGAAACCGCAAGAAGCCACAAGTATTCCCAATTCAGAGCTAGCAGCTATTCTGTCTGCCTAAGCTTTGGTGTAGCCCAGACATGCTCTGCAGGCAACTCCTGATAGGATCCTACAACTCCCTCTCATGTCCATACTCAAGCAACTATTAGGCTCTAACTGCCAGATTTTATAGAAACCTGACATGTACACACATGAGGCCCAGTGAACAACTAACCTCAAGTCATATGGTCTAATATTTTGCACCGGAGGCTCTCGATTCAGACGGGCCCTTTCTGTGCATTTCTCTACGCAAATTTATCCTAAGGCAAATTCCGAGCGGAAACGTGGGAGTTGGAGGAGAAGCAGGAGCAATACTCACCCCAGGCTTGTCTCCCTGATCTAAGGGCCATGTCAACCAGCCCAGTTCACCTCCTGTTGCCTTCATATCCAAAAGCACCTCTGTAAAGACACGAGAACAACTTCAGTACATCACAAAAAAAACTTTAAACTCATCAGAAAAGACTCGTTTTGACTTGGAATTGATGGACATCATCTGACCCAGGTATATTTCTTAGAAAAACATTTGTAAGATTCTTGCAAATGGAAAAACACTTACAAATGATGCTGATTTTGAATTTGCTGCATAACTACCAATCTCATTCAACAAAACCAACACCTTTAGTCAAAAACTCTAACATTAATACTCATATGAGTAAGTTTTATTGGCCAAATGTTGCATTTTACTTAGCAGTACCAAGAAATACACTTTGATATACTTTCAAACTGATATACTTGTTCTTTATATACTTGAAACACTAATGGGTAAAATGCACTATGCACAATTTAAAAAAAAACAGTTTACAAAAGATCACAATGTGATTTATATATCTCAGAAAGGAACTGTACCAACAAACTATCTCCAGAATTCACCTGCTGAAGTAAGTTTAGAGCAGCGCACATGCAGGCTACGCTCTCTGCTCAGTTGGTTCCAAGTTATTACACAACTACATGAGAAACAGTTTTTAACTATTAAAGCGTTTACATAAAATAAAACTTAATGTCACCAAATTAAGAAAGTGTGTTTCCTAGTTATAATTCTTTAGAGGAGGCTCACCGCATTGTACGCGTGCTTCCCTTCAATAAACTTAAAATAGAATAAGATGATCAATTTTAGGGAAATCTGTTGTTGTTTTTTTTAACACTCACCTTCCTTAGTCTGTAATGTAATCAGTATACCGTTAATGAGTACATAAGAAAATAATAAGGGTCTGACTCCACGAAAGAAATCCATTTGGCAAACTTTTCCTTCCTCTCTCTGCTCCTGGGCTTGGCTGGGACTCTGCTCTGAGAGGTGAGCGCTGCTCTCTGCAGCTCATTCACAAACGGCCACAGCGTCACAGACTCCGCCTGCTGGAATGCATGCGCGAGCGTGTGTGCGTGTGTGTGCGTGTGTGCGTGCGTGTGTGTGCGTGTGTGTGTGTGCTTGGTGTGCTTTGGGGTGGGCTGGGGGGAGGGGGGTTACATGAGAAAGTTTTGCAACCTTCAGGGACTGTCAGACATTTCAGAATTTGCTGCACATAGGAAAGGCAAGTGAACAAGTCCTAAAAGTTGACATTTTAAATTTGAAAAACTGTAGGCTACTATCTTTATATCTAATGCAAGTCCAAACTGTCCAAACACTGCTATGTGTGGAATTTCTAGGGACAAATTGTAATGACAACTGATAGACAAGATAAATATATACATGCCTATCTGCATTATTACAATTTGGTAAATTATGGACCTGCAAATCAACACGTGTCCTTTGTTCCATATGGAATTGATATACACAACAACTGAAGCAAAGTCTAAAAAGAAGTAGTGGAAGAAGTATTCAGATCTTTTACTTAAGTTAAAGTAGCAATTCAACAGTGTAAAAATATGACAAGTGCTGTGAGTTTTTATTATTATGGTTGCATTTATGTATGAGTAGCATTTTGAAGTAGTAACATAGATGGTGAAGGGGGAGCTGATAGTCAGTAACTTTATATATTGTCAGATAGTTTAATTTGCAGCAATGCAACAAATTGTATGTAATGATCATATGTTTTGCGTGTAAAATTTGACAAAAGTGACATACAGTGGAAAATCTCAAGTAAAGTACAAGTACGCCTGTGTTACTTACTTTCCACCACTGATAACAAGTGCTGTACTTTGTCATTGCTTATCTAGGTGAACTGGTGCCGACTTCCATGGTGGCCTGAGATACTGAAATAAGGGAGAGGAAATGGTAATAGATGTAATGAATAAATAGTTACATGAATGTTCGTGGATCCTAGAGAACATGTGTAGTTATAGCCACTTGTTGAAACCACCAATGAATCAGTGATCGATAGAAAAGTGACTAATTCAACTAACTTACTAATTCACAATTAATTAAATAGTAATTAATAAGGAAAATAATCTTTAAATGCAGCTTTAATTTGCACTATATTGTCTTCCTAACTTTCAAGTACTGACTTGTCAGCCTCCCTCCTTGAAGTAGAGTTTACAGGGGGCACTTGAAGGCACCATAACGCTGGTTACAGTTTGCTTGGCTGACTATCTAGTAGGCTGCAGGACAACAGAATCATTTACATGGAGGTGTTGATTTAGAATTGTTTGCCACGTTGAATGGGCCTGAGGAGCGGAAAGCAGGAGCCGCTTTACTTGACATCCCTTTGTTCTGATCATCCCCACATACAGAGGTAAAATTGTTTTGACAGGCGGAGAGAGATGTATTCATATAAGCATAATAGCAACTCTGAACACCAGAATTCACAGTACAGCTGGCCTACTGATAGCCCATCATAATTTATGGGAAATATCCCAAATATGTTGCACCCTGCCAACCCTGTAGATAGACAGTGGTCAAGTTATGAACAAAAAAAATTTAATCTGGTTTCTCAGTCTCAGGAGGGTATGTGGGAGTGGGAGTGGGAGTAACCAGTATGAATATGGGGAATTAAGAAAAGTCCTTTACCTAGCAACTGGGGCAGAGTGGAATTCACTGTCAAGCTTTATCTGACTTACTTTCATTGTTTGTTGCCCAGTGTTACTATGGCAAAGTGTTGAGCAACGGCTATGGAAACGATAAGGAGGACATATTGCTTTTCAATCCTTCCCCCGACCCTTTATATGACTGAATACAGCACTCTAGCCAGAGGGTTGTACCTGATTCCTAAGAGTTTATTCCCAGTGGTGTTTACCTTGAGAACCAGCCTTGTCCCCACAATAGATGATTAGACATGGGTCTCTCTCTCAAACACACATGCATTGTCGTTCACACACCTGTGACGCTGACACTGCGGGAAAAGAGGTGGGCTTCTGCTGGCTGAGACTGTATCCCAGACCCCCTGTACCCTCCCTTCATCCCCCACTCCTGGCCTTCTGGGGCTCTAGTTTCACAAAGCCCCCTTAAACCACAGAAGAACGCCATGGCTCTGAGCTTTTGAACCCCTAAAATCCAAGCACTCACCCGCACACTCTTGTGTACACAACTGTTCTTCACCCATTCACTTGTCACACCTCATGAACAGGGGGTCTACAGAATTACGGGTTCAGGTATTGATGGGGGGGTGGGGGATGGGGTCTAGCGCAGAGGAATGAAAAAAACCCTTGATATCATTCCTTTTTCTATTTTGATATGAAACAATAAGACGTGCCTACGATGTCACATGTGCATTATCATTGCTGGTTAGCCTGTTGAATATGTATTGTTCTTTGTAGTGCAGCACTAAAAGCTAACGCAGGATGTAAACTGAGAACTAAAGTGGATTGGTGAGTGTGGTTGAGGGCTGGGGGTGGGTGGGTAGATTGGGGTTATGTGTGTTTTGGGTGGGGGGGTGCTGGGAGGGCTGCCAAGCACAGGTGTAAGGCAACTACAGCAGCAGTGGTGGATGGGCAAACAGCAGGGCCATTGTTCCCACATACACAAACATATAGCGCAACAAGTGTGGCCGAGGCAAGCAAATGCGAGAACTGGATATTGGCTCATCTGTTAGTCTGATTAGCTTTATATGCCCCCCACCCCCCAACAACACCTGATCCTGCTGATCCAGCTATGTTCAGAACCTGCAGGAGAAACTAGTTTCATGTGCCTTGTCAGTTTCACTGCTACCTAATTAAAATCAGGTTCATTGTACATCAGGCTATTTGTTGCAGATGTATTTGTTACATTCAGCATGGACAGTTCACAGTTAAATGAAAGGTAATGATCAATATGAATTTCCATTTCTGCTGCAAACCCTTATCCTTAATAGCCTGAAACCACATATTGCTAATACTTTTCGTCAGTCACTGTAGGAGCTGCACACATGGCAGCTGGATTTTCACAAATCAACATACAAGGCAGACATCTGCAAGTTGTATATATTATGCATACAAATGTGTGTATGTGGTAATGAGCAAATGTTGGTGGTAATATGGCCCTGGTGTGTGTATTGAGGTGAGAGGCTGGGAAGCTCGAGGGCATGTGTGACCTACGTGTTGAGTTGTAATGTAAACCAACCATGTGTGGTTGGCTTCAGTGTGGTCATTTGTACATCAAACAGCTAAAGAGGCCAGGCTGAAGAGAAACATTCAGTGACAGCTGATTCTGAGATTAATCTCCCCTACTTTCAAAGTTGAGCTTGCAATACCATTCATAGTCAACCTTTCACATTTTCAGAGCTGTACATATTTTCTCAGTCTGTTCAATACTTTATAGTTTCCATTAAAAATACTATTTAGTGGAACCCACTTCAATTTATCAAACATAGAACATTTTCATATTAGTGTATCTTTTGTTTGTGAAGATTTTTTGTCATCCAAGGTGAGTTTGATTTGCCCTTTTTTTTTATCCACCTTGGATAGTCTCTGCTCAAATATGCATTGTAATGTTCATCATACACACCATAATTACAAGAAGTCATGAAGAAAACCCTGTTCATGTTAGCCTCCTATGTATAATTTTAATTACGAGATATAAAGAATTTCTGACATCTATGGTTGATGAAAATACTAAGTGAATTGCTTGTAAAATGGTGGCAAAATAACTGCTAAACTAAATTTTAATTTTAATTGTAAATTAATGCTAATTCAGCCAATTAAGCTAATTAAAAGATGCTCAACATTGTTTTTACAGTGTTATTTTTATCTGGTTTCATTTGTTATTGAACTACTACTACAAATATAATACAATCTAAAATTAAAAATATAAATATAATCTATTCATAATTCACATGGGCCCTCACTATGTCCACATGTATTCAAAATTAATACCTACCCAATTCACAGCAGCATCCCCCTGACTTAGAAGCTTATCTAACCTTAGAATCAAGTCATTACCTAACCTTGCAGAGGTAACTGTCCTTGGAAAGTACAGATGCACCCTGCAGGGGGAAAGGCAGAATATATGCATCGTACCATTCATTCAACTTCTTATCACAACATTATCTCAGCATTCCTATGCCCTGAGCTGGAACATGCTCATATTCTCAGACAACACCTCCCTTTTTATTGGAGACACGGGTCAAACTGGAGTGGCAGATGTTCCTATTTGCTCACCAAAGTAGAATGACCTGTTCCTTCAGGCGCCTCCTTCCTCTTCTTCCATATCAAGTGACTGCTAGCCTAAAGGCCGTTGTTTACGTTTAAAGTGCAGAGGAAGGGAGACAGAGCTAAGAAAAAGGTCGAGATTGGATTCCTGGAAGGGCTGAGGAGGAGGGACATCCTCTGGGCTATGACTAGGGGCCCCTGGGCTGCTGAGAGTCTTCATTGAAATCCACCTGTTGATATAGTTCCAGTTGACCCTACTGGGCTTGCTGATATCAGATGGGATGGAAAGAGGGAGGAAATGGAGAGGTGTGTTTTGATGGGGAGTGTGTGAAAATTAGCTTTTATGTTCAGGTGTTTATACTTGCATGCCTTAATGCTTTTGAGTCTGGGGCTTCTATTCTGTTGGTCAAAATCTGAGGACACAATTACAGCAAAAAAATATATATATAACAAATGAAAGAATTACACTTAATATCAAACAAAACATGACTAAAAGTCTACAGCCATACTAGCAGTTCTGTGACGCTGTACTTGGACTTGCTTTGAGTGAAGTGCTAATGTCAGCATAGTAACACGCTCACAATGAAAATGCCAAAATGCTGATGTTAAGCTGGTATAATGATTACCATGTTCACCATCTTGGTTTAGTGTGTTAGCATGCTAACATTTGCACTAAACACAAAGCACAGCTAAGTATAAAACTCTAGAAGACACTTTATTAGATAGAATGTATTAGACACTATTAAATATGTGGA